CCTCAATCTTGGTAAAAGAAATCTCTAAATTGATTGAGACCTGTCTCAGACACGTTTTTAGTTTACAAGGCCAAAATGACTCTGGATACTTTGTTTATAAACAATGAATGACTCCTGTTTTATTGTGGGAAACAAATGTAAATGATTGTAATGTCCTTGAATGACATCACTAATTGTGTGGCTTTTCTGAGTGAATCATTTTACATGTTGCAAAACATGGATCATTTCATGCTTGCTTTCTCTTTTAATGTTGCTATTAGAGAATCATGAGAACCCCTTATTGAATCTATATCACATACAATTTTACTGTCCTTAATTTCTGCTCCAGGAATGGCAAGAAAGGGGTAAAATACCGATACTGTGATGTTAATTAAGATTAGGTATACATATTCTGCTAAATGAAGGGGTGTCATTATAATTTGTGTATATTATTTGGGGATAGACAATACATATATACATATATATCCATGTGATATTTAAACTGTTTTTAGGTTTATAATTGTTAAACACCTACTGATTTTTTTGTGGTCTTTATTACATATGAAATTTGACATAAATATCTGAATTGTTAGTATTATTTCAAATAATATAGAGTTGATTGAATTTGTGTTTAAGGAATTCCAATATGAAATCAGATCACATTAATTCTAAATGCATATGGGTATATTTGTATATGGTCTATGCACTGATTTGTAAGTTTTTAAAGGAGATACACACTATTACTAGTAAAACTGGTTGGTCTTGGTAAATGAGCTCCATGTTGCTTGGGCGTTTGCTCTGCTTCACCTGAGCTGCCCCTTCAGCGTTCCCTCTGCAGGACACACGCTTTCTTTTGACTGTGTCTGGCAGTGCTTTCCCATATTGTAACTTCGGTTAAGATTGTGTCCTTTTTCTATTTTTATTTTTAAATATAAAGGTTAGTCTAGGATGCAGTGGCTCATGCCTGTAATTCCAGCACTTTGGGAGGCCAAGGTGGGCAAATTACTTGAGGCCAAGAGTTCAAGATCAGCCTGGCCAACATGGTGAAACCCTATCTCTACTAAAAATACAAATATATATATATACACACATATATATATATATATGTTAGCCGGGCATGGTGGCATGCCACTGTAATCCCAGCTACTCAGGAGGCTGAGGCAGGAGAATCCCTTGAACCTGGGAGGTGGAGGTTGCAGTGAGCTGAAATTGGGCCACTGTACTCCAGCCTGGATGACAGAGTGAGACTCCATGTAAAAAAACAAAAACCATATATAGATGGGTTAGGTTTATTTTTCTTATAATTTTTTAGATTTATTTTTCTCATTAATATGGCAGTTTGGCAGTAATTTCTTTAAGGACAGTGCCGTCTTTACCCTGCTATTTAAAAATCTGAACTTCATTTTCTGTTTTTAAAACTCTTGCTTTTATTTATTACAAAATTAATTTATTTCTTTTAAATTCAAGCAGTAGATGTATAAAGTAAAAATACAAAAGTACCTCTGTTTTCATCCCCCAACTCCATCATTGCTAAAAGTAACCATCTAAATGATGTCAATATTTTTTCTGATTCTTCCTATATATGTAAAACACTGATGTGAATATATATGTATATAATTTTTATAAAATGAGAATAAGAGTTCTTACATCTAGTTTTTTAAAGCATGTCTTTAGCTTGTTTCTAAGACTATTTTTTCTCTTCCATTTTGGACTTTTTTGCAGTTTTATTGCAAAGAATGATGTATGTATATGACTGACAAGATTTTGGAATTTATTGAGATTTTTCTCTTTGATAAAACATATAGTCAATTTTTGTAAATATTCTATAAATATTTTGGGATAAAAATATAGAGTGAATGAGGTAAAAGTGTACTTCTGTCTCATATTTATTCTCATTTCCATCTGCTAAATCAATACTTTGTTCTTCAAATCTTTCCCTTTTGTATTTTTGTTGTTGTTGTCTGTTCTCTCAAACTTCAAGAAAGGTGTGTTAAAATCTCCACATTTTGATTATTGTTATATCAATGACATATTAGATTTAGAGATTAACATTAATATTATTCCCCACCTATACTTTTAAATATGTGTCTGAATTGTTTTTTCTTTTCTTTTTTTTTTTTTTTGAGACGGAGTTTCACTCATGTTACCTAGGCTGGAGTGCAATGGCGTGATCTCTGCTCACCGCAACCTCCGCCTCCTGGGTTTAGGCAATTCTCCTACCTCAGCCTCCTGAGTAGCTGGGATTACAGGCACGCGCCACCATGCCCAGCTAATTTTTTGTATTTTTAGTAGAGACGGGGTTTCACCATGTTGACCAGGATGGGCTCGATTTCTTGACCTTGTGATCCACCCACCTCGGCCTCCCAAAGTGCTGGGATTACAGGCGTGAGCCACCACGCCCGGCCCTCTATATATTTGTTTATCAGTGTTTGAATCAGTGTTTGAAATGTCATTNCACCATGTTGACCAGGATGGTCTCGATCTCTTGACCTCGTGATCCACCCGCCTCGGCCTCCCAAAGTGCTGGGATTACAGGCTTGAGCCACCGCACCTGGCTGAATTGTTTTTTCATACACTTTTTTTTGTTGTTGTTGGTTCATTTATTTTTATTTTTATTTTTTATTTTATTTTTTTTCTCTTTTTTTCCCCATTTATTTATTTTATTGCATTTTAGGTTTTGGGGTTCAAGATTGTTGCATAGGTACACACGTGGCAGTGTGATTTGCTGCCTTCCTCCCCATCACCTACATCTGGCATCTCTCCCCTTGCTATCTCTCCCCAGCTCCCCACCCCCCACCATCCCTCCCCTATTTCCCCCCGACTGAACCCAGTGTGTAGTACTCCCCTCCCTGTGTCCATGTATTGAAATCAAAAATATGTGATGTGTACAATTCATGGCTCTACATCTTGATGACTTCTCACAAATTGTACATTCCTATGGCCTCCTTTATTTCTCAAGCCAGTTTAGACTAAACCCTGAGTCTTCTGATTTCCATATATACCCTATGAGATTAATATTGTTACATTTATTTTACAGAGAAAGTAATAGAACCAGAAAGTTGAATGACGTGCTCAAAATTATACAAGCCAGTCAGGATATTTTCACTCCAAGCTAAAAAGTTCTTGTGTGTGTGGTAGGGGGTGAGGGGGCATCCAGGCTTTCTACAAAGCATCTTTAATCTGCTTGCCATGTCTTTCACCATTGCACAAACTGTGCATTGTATCCATGTGAATCCTCTAGCCCTAGGTCACCTGCCTTTGCTTACAGCCTCACTTCACCCCTCCCTTCTTTCCCTATTGATGACATTCATTCAGCCTTTGCTCCCGCCTCCTACTGGGAGGTGTCTTGGTGGAATTGAGTCTCTTGTGGGAAGAGGTGCTCATTCCCCATAGACATATGAAGGAGTGATGCTCCACGTTTGTGCTCTTGAGCTTTCTCAACGGAGAGGCCAAATTTAAGCCTCTTTAGTTATCACAGAAAAATACAGGAAGGTCTCTATGAAGCGATTTCATGTTCTCCAGGGAGGTATTCTCCAGGGCATATAATTCTATGCCATAAAATGTTATGGAATAAATATGCTGAATCACTTTGTTGTATTTATGAATAGGTGGCTTTTGACTACAGGGTAATCTTCTGATTAAGTAGTATGAAAGAGACAGAGTCAACAGATTGGAAAGTGCAGATTCTGCTCCTGTGCCTTTTGGTGGGTCTTGTGTTTATAGTTATCCTCATTGATAGTTGGAGATGTTGTTGAAGGGATGGCTCAGTGCTTAGGAGTCACTAGGCTCAGCTGAAACATTTGGATCAGTAGACTTTTTTGGTCTGATGCTAGTCAATTTCTTTTCATTTTCAGAGAAAAGTTCAGGCAATAAGTAGAAGTGTAAGTACTTTGCATGCGTAAATCATCATACTCTGGAAGTTTGCAACTAGAAGACAGCTTGGTCAGTGAGTCCAACAGTTACCTCTTTCCACTGACATGCTGAAGCCTTGGGAAGGGAATGATCTACGTAAATATTACTTGTCAGTGATTTATCCAGGACGCCATGAGGGTCTTCTAAGGTATAAACATTTTCTATTTTTTATAGCATTCTCTAAATTTTCTAATTTTTAAAACCAATCTACTTTAACAGAGTTGGAACTGAATACATGTTGTTTTTTTGCCATGAGAAATGTATTTTAAATATTTGGCCTTGTAGAATCTGTTTTAATAATTGCAGGAGGTTTTTTGACATCCACAATACAATACAATTATTGTTGTTATAGACAGTCATTTGATTTTAATACACGATGATGGACGAATTCAGATGTAAAGCAACTTGTCTTCTCCAATCTGCTAGTGTCCTACAGATCTACACTCAAGACAACATTGTATGTCTTCAACTTGCTGTGTCCATCTGTTTTCCCGGCTTCCTCATCTCTTACAGTGAATTTCCTCTGGTTTTCAAAACATCACACAAAGGGCAGTAGGCCTCCATCCTAGTTTTATGGTGTCATCAAGTGCCTTCTGACGAGTGAGTCAGTCTTCCTCCTCCTGCCATCTTCCTCCCACGGAATGGGCTTCCATTCATGACATCCTGTGATTATGTTTGTTCATCCTCCCTCCCCTTTCAAATGTCATCATTCCCTCACTTAAATTTCTACAGCATATGTTATTAATTCCCAATTGTGTTGTGTGCTGACTTCTTTTAGGCACTCTATTCCTTAAACATAGAGTCTAGATTTTTCTAATTTTAAAATACATTTATTCTAGAAATGTTGGTTTAACGGCTATTGTGAACCAGGGAGTGTTGCAGGCACTGTGTATAGACCACAGAAGCTAAAAAAATTTTTGCCTTCTGGGAGCTAAGCTCTAGTGAGGTGTGTGTGTGTGTGTGTGTGTGTGTGTGTGTGTGTGTATATGTATATATGTAAAATACATAAAGTATTATATAAAATATATAAAATAGTAACCTATTTATATTTATATAAATCTGTATATTTTATACATATTCCTTTAAAAAGGATATATAGATAATATATTATATTCTATGCCATATAATGTTATGAAATCAATATGCTGAATCACATGTGTATATGTGTGTGCATATCTGTATATACATCTATATCTATATGCAGTTTATGCAGCATACTAGTTAAGGGGTTAGAAGCTATTTTATGTGCTGTGCTTAGCTCTCTGTGGAGCTCTGGATTCACATGTATTCCTGAGGATGCAGAGTCTAGAAAATGGTAGCTGGTTAATTAATGATCGTTGAATAATTAATGATTAAATGAATCTTTTCTTTTCATGACAAGTATAGTGGGAAGAGAGAAGAGAGGAAGGAGAGAGAGTGAAGTATTTTAAGTTACACAATTACTCCTCAGATGGTTTTTTTCTTAAGTCATCATGGTCAGAAGGATGGACCTTGAAGATCTGGCCCCAAAAATTTCACATCCAGGTAAATCCCAATATAATTGACCAGATCCCGGATGGGCAGAAATTTGTAAGCATGAAGCCAATTCACATAGTCTATAGGTCACCTAATATGGTTGCATTGAAAATGCAATCCCCCTCTATGTTTCTACAGAACATTGTTATCTTTATCCAAGTCATATATAGGCACTTTGAATCTAATTAATATTTTAAATAAGTTTATATCAAATTTGCTGTAACACTGGATTATTAAGTTATTATCAAACTTGTTGGGATATCTTTTTTAATCTACAACTTTTTATATTTTGTTTTTGTGGTCTTAAGTTTTGAATTTATGTAAAATTCAGTAAAATGAAAAACACTTGTAGCAATGCTATAGGATTGGGACCTAAGGTATAAAGTATTTATATTTCCTTTAAGGCTATGTTTAATTTTCAAATTACATGGTGTACAGTTGAAATAGAACTTTGATATTATTTTGTACTTTTCAGACAAGGTCTCTGAGCCAGAATTCTTCATTTCTATTTTTATATTTGGTATATAATTCAAGTATTTGGTCATTGCCTAAAATTGCCAAAGAAAATTTCTGTCAGGATAGGCTCCTCTTTTCATCTTCTGCCAGAATTTCTGAGGTGAATGCATACTGGAACTTTTAGTTAATGGACTGTGGCTTTATTCTTTGTATACTATGTTCATAAAATCAATGTACGACTTCACTACTGAAAATGAAACGACAAAATCAAAGCTCTGTGGTTGAATTCATTCTCTTGGGCTTTTCTAACTTTCCTGAGCTCCAGGGGCAGCTCTTTGGGGTTTTCCTGATTATCTACCTGGTGACCCTGATGGGAAATGCCATCATTACAGTCATCATCTCCCTGGACCACAGCCTCCACGTTCCCATGTACCTGTTTCTCCTGAACTTATCTGTGGTGGACCTGAGTTTCAGTGCAGTCATTATGCCTGAAATGCTGGTGGTCCTCTCTACTGAGAAAACGATGATTTCTTTTGTGGGCTGTTTTGCACAGATGTATTTCATCCTTCTTTTTGGCGGGACTGAATGTTTTCTCCTGGGAGCAATGGCTTATGACCGATTTGCTGCAATTTGCCATCCTCTCAACTACCCAATGATTATGAATAAAAGAGTTTTTATGAAATTAGTTGTATTTTCATGGGCCTTAGGTTTTATGTTAGGTACTGTACAAACATCATGGGTATCTAGTTTTCCCTTTTGTGGCCTTAATGAAATCAACCATATATCTTGTGAAACCCCAGCAGTGTTAGAACTTGCATGTGCAGACACGTTTTTGTTTGAAATCTATGCATTCACAGGCACCTTTTTGATTATTTTGGTTCCTTTCTTGTTGATCCTCTTGTCTTACATTCGAGTCCTGTTTGCCATCCTGAAGATGCCCTCAACTACTGGGAGACAAAAGGCCTTTTCCACCTGTGCCTCTCACCTCACATCTGTGACCCTGTTCTATGGCACAGCCAGTATGACTTATTTACAACCCAAATCCGGCTACTCACCAGAAACCAAGAAACTGATGTCACTGTCATACTCACTTCTGACACCTCTGCTGAATCCGCTTATCTACAGCTTGCGAAATAGTGAGATGAAGAGGGCTTTGATGAAGTTATGGCGAAGGCGAGTGGTTTTACACACGGTCTGACTGTTGAGAAGTCATGTAAGATTTAGTTACTGCCTGACTGTACTCAATCTAAATTTAATAAATGGTGAAAAAGTTTGCATTTTTTTTTGGCATGAGTTTGACTAAGTTGCTGAGTTCTCCAAGTTTGATTATACATCAGGAGCATCTTTATATGTTAATAGTTTTAGTTTTTTTCACAGATGCATAATATTCCTTCATATTGAGTATAATACAGTTTCAACAATTTGTTTGCAATAGACCTACTAATGATTATATTTTTGTCACAAAATAGAATAGTAAAACAAATAATCTGTTTTTATATACTCATAAATTCTGGTGATTTAATTTCTACAGAATAGCTTTCACAAAGTAGGTTTGAAGGGTCAAAGCAAATGTGAGCTTGCAAGTTTTCATAAATATTACTGAGTTGCTTTTCTAAATGATTTTAATGACTTCAGACTGACCTGAGAACCCATCCTACCCCACTGACTAGGTTGAATGCCAAGAAGCCTACAATGAAGAGATGAGATTTTTTTGCTTCTGTAGTGAAAATCTTCCACAAATAAGTAGAAAAGAGAAGTTATTTATTGAGAGGAACACAGTGTCTCTCCTCAGGGACCCAGAGAGAGTATAATTCAAAACTAGATTTCTTCTGGTTAATTTAGAATATATATTCAGTGGTTTGAGTAGAGAACATCATGTGATCATTTTTAAAAGTCATTTATTGTATGGCTATCCTTTCCACTTATAAACTATTTTTTTTTGGAAACTTGGTCAATATGATGAACTCCTTATGCCTATTTTCTATTATCCTCGAGTCATATCAATATTTGTGTGCACCTTACCCACATAAAATAATCATATAATAGTCTTTCTACCTATTCATAAAGATGAATAATTAGACACATTGTAACATTGAAATGTAACATTTCATTCTTGCTTCCTATTTTAATATTGCTACAAGAAATATAAAGGGTTCTACTCATTAAATCTATATCAAAGGAGTTGACAACACCCTTCATTTCTGCTCTGAGGGTGGTGGTAGGGATAATAAAGTAGTTAGAACACTTTCTATGAAGCAATCATTTATTTGATGAAAAACCCTTTTTTTCTTCATGTGTACTTCTGCCAAAAATGAAGGTGAAGGTGCAAATCTATTGGCGTTTCAAAAAGAGAGACATTTCAGGAGAAGAAGGCTGAAACCTTGTGGGTAATGATGCAGGACTTTTCTTCCCAGTTGCTTTGGAACCTGGCTGGCAATACCCCACTTGGGCCTCACTCAGCCATGCTGGCATGCCCCAGCTCACCTGTGTTATAGCTTGCACCTGCATTCATCAGTTTCTAGGCTTTTGTACCATGCCCAAGAAGAATAAGGAGACAATGGACACTGAATGGTGAGGATGGTGGAGAAGAATTTTATTGAGGGACAGAACAACTGTCAACAGAGAGGGGTTATAAGGGGTGATTCCCCTACTCAAAGGCAGGAAAGCCACCTACGGTGGCTCGGTCTAGGGCCTTTTATGGACTCAGAATGAGAAGTGCATGCTGGTTTGTGAATATGCAAAAAAGGTTAAAGCAAAGACACCACTCAAAGGTGGGCATGACAGTGTAGAAAAACCAATTAAGAAAGGGTAGATTTATGTAAAATAGGTAAAGGGTGGGGACCAATCAGAGGAAGGCATGCCAAATGGCAAGACAAGTTCTCAATCTGGTCCGAGGGTTTAACTTGTATCTTTGCTTTCAGGCTTTAAATTGCCTTCTGTTTAGAGGTGGGTTTCACCGGGGACCCACCCCTGTCTGCCTGGGCATTTGGCTGCCTCCTGTCACTATCAGTAATATCTGAATGCTGTATAATATTGTTTTCATTTGGGCATCAAACAGCCATCAGCAAGAGCCTTTGATTGGACCCCATCTCTTGATATCCTGAAATTTCCTTCTGATAGCTCTTAAAAGAACCAATTAAGTAAGGCTTATGTAAAACGAACAAATCAGCAAAGAAGCAAACAAAGGAAGCCAAATACAGAATGTCCTTTTAACCAGTCTTTAGTTGATTTTGTTCATTCATTGATTCTGTAAACCAATTTTTCTTAAGAAAAATTCTTTATAAAAATGTCTTAAGAGAGGTAAATCTCAATGAAATAGTCTCTGCTCTTGAAGGATTTACAGTATATTGGTCATTAGATGCTAGAAGGTCACTATATTCAACCCTTTCCTCTTTTATTGCCTTTGTACTAAACAAAATTCTGCATTTGCAAGATGTTTATGAGATTACAACAAGAAATTAGGTCTCATTAATCCTAAATTTGTATGTGTGTGTGTGTGTGTCTGTGTGTGTGTGTGTGTGAACCCAAGTAAATGCTGGGAATTTATACATTTGTGATGTTATGTGAGGAGATAGAAATAATCACTAGTAAATTTAATCATAGTTTAAAATTTTTATGTCATTCTGATGAATAGAAATTGTTAGTATGCTTCACACATAATAGCCTAATCATATCATTTCTGAGTCATACTCTCCATGGTGATTTTTAGTTAGAGTCATCATGGCTACTACGGCTGACAGTTGCCTAGTTTATGCCCATTCTTCTTTTCCTTTAGTAGAATAAAAGCCCCAATTTTCTTAAGGGCAGTAATGTATCCAGTTAAAAAATCAATTTCCCAGTTTCTCTTTTGAATAAAGGTGGCTTGTGCCACACTGTTCTGACTAGTGACATGTAGGTAGACATCCTTGAGTAGGCTTTCTATGAAAACTCTTTAAAAATGTGAGTTAGTTAATAAAGACATTTTGCTCTTCAGTGTCCTCCTTCCTTCTACCTAAAACCAGCCATGAGGCTAGAGAGGGAGCAGCTGTCTTGCAATTAAAGTTATAGCATGACTAGAAAAGCCAGGCCCTATGGAGGCCAAGCGGAAAGCTAGAGGGTGCCTGGGTCGCTGATGGCAATGTCTAGCGACCTTAACATTCCTCTCCTGCCTATTTCTTTTCTGACTGCTACTTCAGAGAAGTAAACCTTGTCTTTGTTTAAGCCAATATTTTTTAGGTTTTCTACTACAGCATAACCCAATCCATATCCATGTAGTGGATAATTTGGCATTTTTCTCCACAACATATTTAAGCTTAACGTTAGAAAATGTTAAATTATTTTTTTTTTCTGTTTAGATCTGAAAAAGAAATTATGGAACTGTAATAATGGTGGCCATGAGTAACGTTTGACAAGAAAAATAATATCTTACAAGTAAAATAGAGTTATGATTTCCCTCCAGAAAATCCAGGCAAACAGCAACCAATAATATGAACAAATTTAAAAGTTTAATAACCCCCCTCACCAAAGAGGCTTAGAGATGGCTGATGTTGCAAGTAAACTTGAAATGGAAAGCAAATCACATATACAGCTTGTTTCAAATATAAAAGTTAATACTTTTTTTCCAATATATGCTTCTCAAAGAAAATCAGCAGAAAAAAAAGTGTCTATCATGAAAAGCTGCACATAATTTTGTTGAGTTTCAAGTGTTTTTTTTTCTTGAAGATTTTATCTTGAGTTTTTTATCTTGCTTTTCATATAACTCGGATCATAAGATTATTCAAATGTGTATTTTATTTGTTTCATTTAAGTTAGTGACTTACTGTTTATGTTATCACAAAAATTTCATAAACAATTTTTCATCAGAACATGAAAAATAATTTAGTTGGACATTCCCTATTTTTAGATATTTAAGGTGTTTTGAATTTTATCAAGACATAAAAAGCACTGCTATTTATATGCACAGCATTTTTCCTGCAGAAAATATTATTTAAAAATTTTACTGCAGTAAAATTATTTAACTGTTTACAATTATTTCCTTTAGACTAGACTTTATTAAAAGCATTGTTGGGTTGGAGGTTTTGAACATTGTTTAGAAGCTTGATGCATGTTGTCAAATTGCCAATAAGGAAGTCCATACGAGTTGACCTACTCCCCTGCAGCATTCCAGAATGTGTCTTGTGATCTGTGATCTAGTATTATTTTACTTTTTCTTTTTTAAAATTTGCATCTTTTTGGTTTTTCACTAAACAAAAGAAAGCTAGAAATATTATTATTAATTTTAGAGACGGAGTTTTGCTCTGTCACCCAGGCTGGAGTGCGGTGGCGCAATTTTGGCTCACTGCAACCTCCACCTTCTGGGTTCTAGCAATTCTCCTGCGTCAACCTCCGAGTAGCTGGGACTACTGGTGCACGCTGCTACGCCCAGCTAATTTTTTGTATTTCTAGTAAAGACGGGGTTTCACCATGTTGCTGAGGCGAATCTCAAACTCCTGAGCTCAGTTAATACACCGGCCTACGCCTGCCAAAGTGCTAGGATTACAGGCGTGGGCCACTGCACCCAGCCAATATTATTTTTAAAGAAAATACTGCTAATTATACATTTTAAAATGCTATTATGCTATATTACTTTACTATTTATTTTAATTTACTTTAAATATTTATGATGTTTTAATCACAAAAGTGATACATATTCTTAAACTTTACATAAATACAAAAATAAGTAAAAGAGCTATTTTTCCAAATACCAGCCTTCAATGCAATCAAAAGCCTAACAATATTCAAAACTGTTCAGTATGTGGCACACAGAGATAAGTAAACAAGAAGGCATTTGGGGATGTTTTTGTGATAAAAAAGTATTTTATTTTATATGCCATAATTATAAGAAAGATTAAAAAAGTGTTAAATATGACATGAAATATTACTTTTGTATATTTCTAATAAAGTGTTTTCAGAAATTAGGAGAGGAATTTGAGGTTATTTCTATAAGTAAGTGAAGTTTTCTAATATCAATTTCTGTCCTTGAAACTTCAACATGCAATTTCTGATCAAGACATCTTAGGGATGTTCCATTCACATTTTTGATAGTAGTCATTAATAGAAAACTGGCCAGGCATGGTGGCTCATGCCTATAATCCCAGCACTTTGGGATGCTATTATACATTGTTCTTTGTATCACAAACTCCAGGAACATGAAGATAACGGGCAAGGCAGCTAGTCAGGAACAAAATGTCTTTAAACAGTTGCCCCTGAGTCTGGGTGTGAGAGGTGTGACTGAGGTCCCATAGCCATACTTACACCTTCCT